ATCTTTATTTTATATCATTTACCAGATATTATTTTATCAACCTGTTAAACTATCACTGCCTTGTTTAACAAGGCCTCACTTCCCTAATCGCTTGTTTACCAGTTTAAGATAATAAAACTACCCTTTCTTATTTTAGATGATTCATTTTCATAAGGTTGGATATGTTGGCCATTGTCTTGGAAAGTGTGATGCTACATTTCTAAAACGTGAAATGTGCTTAATATATGAAATATGCATATAATTATATAAAATGTGATTAATTTTTGAACAGTTTAATGTATTCTTTAAGTAGGTCCATGAGTATTGTGCTCTATGTTCTGTATGTAATATAGATTATCCAGCTTTTCTTATAGTTGGCACTGTGTAACTGTAGTATTATATGAAATTTATGGATGCTGAGCTTCCAATATGGAACTTAAAATAGTTTTGTGCAGTAAAAAATGGTAAGTAATATGGGTATAAAATGTCGTTAATTAGTTGTAATAGTTTGCGTATGAAAAATATATACTTATATTTTCGGAAAAAATACCAGAAATATATCAAATCATGTAATAAATCTGGACTCCAAGTTCGACTGAAGTGATATAACTTCGGATATAACTTTAAATAAGAATATCTAAATTTTTCAATGAGAATTCAGATTTTGAACATAGTTTTCTATTTTTGATACTGTTTCATTGCATTAAGTCTTCTAGCTCTTATGAAATATCATTGTTATTCACAAATTTTCATGAAAGATGAAAAATATTTGATTTTTTCTTTGAAATTTTTAGTGTCATTCAGTAAGCACCTGCAATTAAACTCATACGGCACTCTCTAATTAATGTGAAATGATATATATTCTTTGAAAAAAATTGGGCTATGTTCTTAGAATCTACGAAATAGTGAAATGTTTGTTATGAAACGATAAAAATCTTGCATGAAGTTCGGTATTATTGAAGATCTCTTCCTAAATTCTGAAATAGTGATGTTTTTACTCTTATTATTTTCAAAATTTGGTACTTCATGAATTAAATAACTGTATAGGTGTACTAAACTTTGTCGAAAATTCAAATATTTTATTAATTGATTGGTTTTATTTAAATGGTATTGATGTGAAAGAGCTGTATGTTAGGCAGTTTCTTTCAGAAATATAGCCGTATTTGAAAACTCTGTAGATAATTTGCCTTACTGAAATTGTTCTAAATTTTTAAAAATATATGGGTGATATGATGCTACGTTATCATCTAGAGTGTCTTTTCTCTTTGCAAATAGTGTATAGAGTTATAATAGGAATTGAATCTTCTTTCTATAACAGAATTTTATTAGTATCTCTAGAAGAGGAATTAGAAAAAAGTTTCATGCTTTTTGTAAAAAATCTTTTTCTAAAAAATAATGTAATATCTGGTTTGTCATTATGGTAGAAAGACAGTGTTATTAAAAAGCAAAAGTTTCAGAGTGGTAAAATATGATTCTGAAATGACGTTTTCTGAAAATAATCAATGTATTTCGCAATATTATAAGTTAAAATAGTCAAAACTAAAAGTCTTTTACACAATGTGAGCATGAAAGCCATTGAAAAATCTGTTGCAGTCGTATAAAATTTAACTCGAAGATGAAAATTGTTGCTGACATGATTAAAAAATATCAAAATTTGGTTTGAAACTAAATCACTGAGTGCTACATATACATGTGATCGTGATTGTTTCAAGGTCTTTTAGTAGAAGATATCCTGTTTTTTAAGTAAAATTATTTTCCTTTTCCGATGTCAGTAAGTCTAAAGCTAAATCTTTGGAAAAGTACATATTCGGATTTTCGTCTGTTAGGAATAATGCGTATGCCTACATATACGTTATCATCTAAAATAAAATAGGAGTATCACTGAATTTTCTCGTTACTACAAAAGGGTAGATTTAGAAAATAAAGGAAAATTTCTAAAAACATTGTTTCATTATCTTACTCTTCCTTCTTAAAAGTTGATAAGTTATAAGAAAACTCTTTTTAACCGTATACTGCTTATAGGAAATAATTTGTTACTCAGGTTTTATATTAATGCATTACAAGATTTTACATTTAAGTATTGGTAAGGTTTTACTGTTCCTAATGAGTGGATTTTCCTAGCGTGTACGTGGATATTAATTGCATTTTCCTCAACAACCCTTGGGGGTAATTTAATACTAATCCAAATAATTTTAATTAAATTTCAATTAGGATTTTTAAAAGAATCGAATATTTATGCGATACATTATAAAACCAACCAATTAATAAAATATTTGAATTTTCGATAAATTTATTTAGTACATCTATACAGTTATTTAACTCATGAACTACCAAATTTTCAAAATAAATGAGAGTAAAAACATCACTATTTCAGAATTTAGGAAGAGATCTTCAATAATACCGAACTTCATGCAAGATTTTTATCGTTTCATACAAACATTTCACTATTTCGTAGATTCTAAGAACATAGCCCATCCTTTTTCAAAGGATATATATCATTTCAGATTAATTAGAGAGTGCCATACGAGTTTAATTGCAGGTGCTTACTGAATGACACTAAAAATTCCAAGGAAGAAATCAAATATTTTTCATCTTTCATGAAAATTTTTGAATAACAATGATATTTCATAAGAGCTAGAAGACTTAATGCAATGAAACAGTATCAAAAATAGAAAACTATTTTCAAAATCTGAATTCCCATTGAAAATTTTAGATATTCTTATGTAAAGTTATATCCGAAGTTATATCACTTCAGTCGAACTTGAAGTCCAACCAGATTTATTACATGATTTGATATATTTCTGGTATTTTTTCCGAAAATAAAAGTTTATATTTTTCCTATGTAAATTATTACAACGAATTAATGACAGTTTATACCCACATTACTTACCATTTTTTTCTGCACAAAACTATTTTAAGTTACATATTGGAAGCTCAGCATCCATAAATTTCATATAATACTACAGTTAAATAGTGCCAACTATAAGAAAAGCTGAATAACCTACGTATATTACTTACAGACCATAGAGTACAATAATTAAGACACAATAACACGCCGAAATAACGCTGATTTTTATTGTTTGACTTCTAAATTGGTATAGAGTACAATACTCATGGACCTACTTAAAGAATACATTAAACTGTTCAAAAATTAATCACATTTTATATAATTCTATGCATATTTCATATATTAAGCACATTTTACGTTTTTAGGAATGTAGCAACACACTTTCCAAGACAATGGCCAACATATCCAACCTTATGAAAATGAATCATCTAAAATAAGAAAGGGTAGTTTTATTATCTTAAACTGGTAAACAAGCGATTAGGGAAGTGAGGCTTTGTTAAACAAGGATATGTACATATCCTAGCAGTGATAGTTTAACAGGTTGATAAAATAATATCTGGTAAATGATATAAAATAAAGATGACATGAAATGATTATAAAAGTTGTCTTTATTGTCTATATCAAATCTGTTATATGTAGCAGTTTTGTAAATATTCAGTCATAGGATAAATACAAGTAAGAAAGTAATTATTCAAAAAGTTTATACTGCGAAGGAAGTATTTTATTATATAGTAATTTCTGTTTAAAGAAAATAACTGTATTTAGTCACTTAATACACCTACTTAATATATGTTTTTAAGAACTCAATATAAGTAAGTAAATGGTCACATGGTTATAAATGTCTAAATCATTAAATTAAGAAATAGTACTCAATATTGTTTGTATTTTAATAAACTTCTGATTTGGTTTAAAATGTATTGTCCGTATAAAACCCATTATATGTAGCAGTTTTCATTCAACCTTCGGGTAAATACAAGTAAGAAAATAATTATTTTCCAAAGAAGTTATACTGTTAAGGAAACATTTTATTATATACTAATATCTGTTTAAGAAAATTAACTGTATCAGTCACTTAAAACACCTACTTGATACACGTTTTTGAGAATTCAATATAAAATAAGCAAGTTTACACATTATCATATAACTACTAAATGCCTAAATCACCAAATTAATAAAACCTAAGCACACGTCATTTTTCTGTGACGTAGCAACTACTCTACTCGATAAGGCTCCCTGTTTCCATTTTCAGATAAACCTCCTGTTCAGGGCCAATCATTCCTTCTCGGGAGCTACCTCAACTTCCGCTCCCTGAGCTCCCGAGCCAGAAGTGTCCTTTTACCTCTACTCATGCCAAATATTGAACTTAATTCAGGACATGACACAGGGCATAGCATTAGACTATACTATTTACAACAGTCTTTACCACTTGCAATACTAAAAGAAACACATGCTTTGCTGGATTTTGTGAAGAACAGTACAGTTTACAAAACATTAGAGGCACTTTCATATTATACAAGATCCAACAATAGTCTTTTACAAAATGCGGTAACCTTACTAGAGGATCTACAATACTTCCAAAGGGTAATACCGAACAATAGGTAGGCATTACAAGAAACCATCCGTATAGTAAACCACAAATTAAACAAAACGTATTACAGAACAATTTATTATATTCATAAATTACACAATTCATAACCTTTTACTAATTGATATGTCACATACAGTGAAATTATAGTATTCCTAAATCATTCTGTTCATAGCCATGTACCAAATTATTTGCTATGTATTATACAAAACAAATTCCAATAAGCTGTGCATTTGCTTACGGTACAAAAAAGAATTTTTCTTGCTCTAGTTTACCGTGTTATACAGTAACATTCAACATACTTGTTATATTTGTTATACTAACAATATGTAAATGTTACATCACACTTTTAATAACCAGACTGTCACTGCTACATTTTGCTTTGAGGTTAGATAATTTCAGTTGGTGCAAGCAATTCACAGTGAACTAATTGTTCAGTTGTATAATGCAGTTCAGGCTGTTTTAATATTAAGTTTCACCAGAGACTGTGACATAATTTAGATGCTAGTTAACGTTCAGTTGGGAAAGTGAAGCGACTATTGCAAATACTTATGATTTGTAAGAGTTTGTTGATGGCAGTATTGCATTTTAAAAACCGCAAAGTCCAATGTTGCCAATAAGCATCAGAAGGTTTTTTAAGGTGAAATTGCCTGGTGAATTCGCATTCGTAAGCAAAATGATCAACTGAGCCCAGTTCCCTTCAATCACATCTATCATGATCACGAAGATTGAATCTAAGTATTGGTGGAACTGGCCATGACCAGATAAGAATGCTGTTAGTGCAGAATTAAAAGATCGTGCTAAAGCAGATACTTTTGGGATTAATCGAAACGTTCGACGTCCTGTCGAAGCAAAATCCCAACGGTGTTGCCATTTATGCATTAGAATCTGAAAAGACTGTCTTTTGAGAAATGAGGCTGGAAACGAAAGTTGGAATTCCGGCAAGTAAATACCCCGTGCCGCTCTTTTGGCCATTTGATCAGCGAGTTCATTTCCTAGAATCCCACTGATAAAAGGTTTTTTATTTGAAGGAAGAGAGAGGATGATTCGCTGTATGTCGAAGGCCAGTGGACTATTTGATTTATCATTTCGTAAGGCTTTTAAGCTGGACGAAGAATCCGTACAAATCAGTGGCGGAGGATCGAATTTTGTAGACAGAAGAATTGCCTTTTTAAAAGCAATCAGTTCAGCTTGGTAAATAGAATTATTAATATTTAGCCTATGTCTCCAAGTGTAGATTAAGGAATTTTCATAGAAAATACATAAGCCACTGCCATGACCCGTTAGAGTGCAAGAGCCGTCTGTAAAAATTTTTACTGGAAAGTCAGAAGGCAAGTGAAGGGGATGTGTAGAAATGAAGTCTGTTATGTTATTTTCTGCTGGATGGCAAAGCAATTGAGAAGGCTTGTATTCATGTCGATTGGGTAATATCGGTGATTTCATAGAGAACCATGAATGCGGAGACGTAAAATTTTTGTTATGAGAGCCTCTCTTTCCGCCACAAGGTCAAGAGGAGGGATACCTGCCAATACTAGAAGAGCTTGGGTTGATGTTGTTCTGTATCCCTTGCAAATTTTGTAGAAGAAATGTCCTTTGGATGGTCAGCAAGAGTTTTCGCTCATGCCGTGTTAAAACGTTGACCCAAACACCGCAACAGTATAGTATAATTTTCTCTATAACTGTTAAGTACCAGGTTCTTAGAATTTTAATCGAGATCGCCCATGATTTTGCTGTCGTTCTTCTCATGTGATGATTAAGAATGTCTACTTTAAATTTAATGTAATTTCGGAGAGAGTCCTTTCCGTCGGGTCGGATTCCACAACCATACCTTGTCTCCTTCGTAGAATTGATGTCCAGTAGCTCTCGTGTCGTATCGGGTTTTCATCTTCTCCGTCACCAAGTTCACTCGCTCTCGTGCAGAGTTGTGCATACTTAAACCGGGCTTGGATATCTTGAATATGTTCCTCAGGCGATGAAGCCGCATCCGGAGGGTGACCAAACAAGAGATCGCTTTCTTGACCCAGTCCTGAAAGCCACTAATGAGAGGTTATTAAGGATGTTTCGATTGGACCTCTCTACCATGCAGTTTGACTGGGGATGTATTGGCGTCGTTTGGGTTTTGTCAATGCCGAGTAGTTTGCAGAGTTCTTTGATTACTGCCGACGTAAAATTCCTTCCTTAATATCAACTAGGACCCTTTAAGATATCAACTAGGAGAAATCTATGATGCTCTCTTTGAAATATCCGAAGGTGAATGCTTTTCAAATGAAGTGCAACATGAAGCACGAAGTCTGTGCACCAAAATCAAGGATTATAAATTTATTTGTTCCTTGATAGTTTGGCACGATTTGCTTAACAGAATTAATCCTGTCAGCAAACAATTGCAAGAAAAGGGTCTGAGTGTTACACTAGCCTTAAAGGCAATAAGTAACTTAAAAACATTCATTGAAGAATATAGAAGTGATATCAATTACAAAAGTATTCTTGAGAAAGACAAAGAACTTAGTGAAGAAGTGGATGGCGAGCTACAATTTAAAACTGTTGAAGTCCGAAGAAGGAAAAAGAAATGCCACTTCGATTACGAACATGCTGACGAATTTCCCCAATGCCCAGAAGAGAAGTTTAGGGCAAATGCCTTTTTTAGAATTTTGGATACTGCTTGGACATCATTAAACGAAAGATTTGATTCAATGAAAAATCACTACGATAATTTTAGTTTCCTGGGTAATTTATCAGAAATCGATAACGCAAATTTGAAAATAAAATGTGATAAATTAGAAAAATTGTTACAGTGTGGTGACAATAAAGATATTAACGCAAAAGAACTCTATGACGAAATAGTAGCTTCGAAAGACATTGCCGGTATGAATGACTCATTCGATATTTTGAACTTAACTGTGTCAAATAATTTGTGCTTCCCGAACTTGAAGATCGTACTGAGAATACTACTTAGCATTCCTGTTAGTGTTGCTAGTAGCGAAAGATCATTCTCCAAATTAAAATTGATCAAAACACATATTTACGTTCAAGTATATCGCAGGAAAGACTCATATAGTATTTAGCTTTGATTGCCATTAAAAATGAAATCTGTCAAGAACTAGGTGCGAAAGAAATTATAGAAAAATTTGTAAATATGAAATGCAGAAAAAAAAATTATTCTCAATAAATTGTTAAAATCAATTTCAACAAATGCTTTCTTCAAAACTTTCTTCTCCCTATGCGTGAACGAAGTTCAGGTGTCAGTGGGCTCCTGGGTTAGAAAACCCTCATCCCAGTCGAATGCATGGATCTGTTTCCGAACTTTGTTGATCGTGAATGAAACAAGGATTAGCATTGAGGTAAGGCATAAGTTCTTTTTCATGTATGTTGTAGAAGATCTTGAGATTCAGTTCGAGTCTGGGAAGCAGAATAAGCAATATGGTAACGGGAACGTCGATTAAGGATGGTTACCATCGGAGAGTGTCGATCGAAGGAGCTCGCAGGCAGCAGTGGTGGCGGCTGAGGGCTGAATGAGTTGAAGTCAGGAAAGCATCGAAGTAGACCAGGAGAAGAACGTTGATTGGGGTGCGTTAGTCACGTGTGCTAGGGGGGAGGGGCAAAGGCTCTTTCCAGTCCATACGAAATTTTGAAGGGAAGGCCAAAAAGTAATGGGGAAGGGGGTTAAAATTGAGGAAAGCCTGCTGGACTTAGAAAATAATTTGAGCTGAAAAAAATTATTTCTAACTTTCATTTTGTCTGAGGAGGAATATTTCCTTTAAGCATTACTTTGAAATCACCTAAGCGTTTGTAGTTGGTTGACAGTGCATTTAAGTTATTTATGTATAAATATTTTAATTATTTTTATTTATTTATTTATTTATTTTTAATAATATTTTTATAATCACTAATTAGTGATAGTTTCTTAATAAGGCACCTGGCCTCCTTCTGTTGCGCTGGTCATTAACGTTATACTGTAATGAGGGAATGGTAGGATTGTTAACGTTAATGATGTTTGCAAGGAATCGCTTTGAGATTTTAATCATAATCTCAACTAGTTGAGGTGTGTTTGTTTCTCTGTGTAAGGCTTCGTTTCTTATGTAATATGTGCTGTTGGTGATTTGTCTTAATGTGATGTTTTGAAGTCGTTGTAGTCTTATCAGTGTAGTGTTACAGACATAGCCCCAAACTGGGCAGGCATAAGTAATTATTGGAACGAGCATGGCTTTATAAATGAGTAGTTTTTGATCTAGTGCTAAAATGCTGTTTCGAGCGATTAGGGGGTGAAGTGTTATTTTACTGACTCGAAACTTTGTAATTATGTGTTTAATGTGGGGCTTCCATGTGAGTCTCTGGTCAAGTACAACGCCTAGGTATTTGACTTCCTTGGCCCAAGGGATGGGAGTATTGTAGAACACTAGATTTCCTTCAATTTTTCTTTTTTTGGAAAACATGACAGCAACAGTTTTGTTGATGTTTACTTTAATTTTCCACTGAGAGAGCCAGAGTTCAAGTGCATGTATGTGTGTTTGTAGCTGTTGGATAGATGAGCTAGGAGATGCATTTTGTGCGAGGATCGCAGTATCCTCCGCGTACATAGCGAGTGTTGTGTTATGCATGTGTGGAATATCGTTCGTATATAAATTAAATATAAAGGGAGCGACGAGCGAGCCCTGAGGCGTGCCCGCGCGGATAATTCGCTTAGTGGAGAGTGTTTGATTGATACGAACGATAAAATATCTATCGGTTAGATAGGAGCGAAGTGTTGTTATGATGAATTCTGAGAATCCCAGAATGATTAATTTGTAGATAAGGCCATCGAGCCAAACACGGTCGAATGCCTTGGCTATATCTAGGAAGATAGAAGCTGTGCAGAGCTTATTTTGAAATCCAGATGAAATTAATTCAGTCAGTCTGAATAATTGATGAAATGTAGAATGTTTGCTGCGAAAACCATATTGCTGTGGGATGATGATTCTTCTGTTTTCGGCAAATTTCTTTATTTCCAGGAGGATGATATGCTCAGCAATTTTGCTACATGATGGCAGGAGGCTGATTGGCCGATATGATTCAGGTTCATGAGGAGATTTTCCAGGCTTTGGGATCGATGAGATAATGGCAATTTTCCAGCATGAAGGAAAGTGGCGTAAGTCGATGATGAGTTGAATGATTTTAATGAGGCGACAAATCATCAGGAGTCCCATTTTTTTAATCATAATGTTGGTAATGTTATCATATCCAGGGCACTTTTTCGTCTTTAATTTTTCAATATAGCCAAGAACATCCGATGGGTTGACTGCGATGCTGTTGTTAGCGTGTGTTTTTGAGAAAAATTGGGTAATGGTACTTGTGACTAAGTTTTCAGTGTATGGGTCAGAAATGTTGTTTGTGACAAACTGAGTAGCATAGTAATCTGCTAGAGACTGAGCTTTCTCAGTTTCTGTGTATGCGATCCTGTTTTGGCCTTTAAGGGGCGGAATAGTTTTGTAGCATCTTTTTAATTTAGCAGCGGCTTTCCAAATGGAGTAATCATCTGATGTAAGCCCCTTCTAAATATTTAGCCCAGCATTTTTGCGTATGTAAGCGAGTTTGAACCCTGACTTCTTGATGTAATTTATTTAGAAGTTTTTTGTCATCTGGGTGTCTAGTTCTTTGCCAGGATTTTCTTGCATGATTTCTTCTTTTTATAAGGTCATTTATGACAGCATTCTGAGTAAGGTTCTTTACTGGAATTGTTTTGGTATTATTCTGGTATGCTGTGGTGAGGTCATTAGTGAATTTTTTGACTAAGTCGTCTAACTCATCACTCGTATGTATTGTGGGGTAGAGTACTGGGTGTTGTTTAGAGCTTTGGTATAGTTTGACCAATTCGTGATAACGGCTCTTTTGTCTGGTGTGCTATGGCAACTTATGTCTAATTCAATTTCGACTGGGCCCACCAGCGGCCGAGCGGTAAAGTCGCTGAACACTGGTAGTTCGGTCCGAGGTTCGAATCCCGCGAACGGGCTGGCTGCATGGCTGTTTTCGTGGTTTTCCCCATGTGTAACGTGTATACGAGCCAGTTTCCCTTAGAAAGTCCTCCACGAAGGCATCCCTCCTCTTAGGCATATAGCCCTCGAGGCTTTGCCATAAACACACGCACACAATTTCGACTGAGCTGTGGTCCGAGGAAAGCTCATCTAATGTTTGAATTTTAGATGGAGCTTGGATATTTTTTAAAATGAAGAAGTCGAGGGTAGAAGCATAAGTAGATCCATAGCGTGTTGGGGTGGGTGGAGCTGCAATATGAAGGTTGGCTGTATTAGCAAATTTTCGTAGTGTGGTGCCTAGGAAATTAGTTAGAACTGCAGTTCCAAGCGCGGTTGTCTGGCGTTAAAGTCTCCTCCAACAATGATTCGATTGTTGAGTTTGAATATCATGCTTAAATCTGCAATGATATCGGTTAGTAGGTTTGGATGGTGGTACGT